AATTTATAAAAAGAATGTTATTATATAAAGAATATTGCGAATCATAGTAAAAGTCAATGTCAGTTTAATTAAAGTCTATTTATAAATTATAAAATTTATAATTAATTAAGCATTTAGTTTTACTATATAATCATTTTAGCATGTTATGATATGACATATATACACGCACGACCTAAAAATAATTGTAATAAAAATTCCAATTACCAAATTTATCTTTCACTAATAATTGAATATTTTAATTCCTATATCATACTAGAATATAACATATTCATAGCTAGTCACTGGAGCAATTAGCTTACCTTTCATTTTGCGTTTAAGAAAGGAAACCTCGATATGTATCCAAACTCTGTATCACCGTAGGTAAAACTTGCTTGGACAGATTTCAGATTTGCTTTATATACTCTATTGATCGATTGTCATCTATATACATATATATATTGGCGGTATTTGGCTCTTTCGTCAGATTTCGTTATCAATCAAGCCACGATAAATGCTATTAACGTTGCTACGTTACGAAATCAAAGATAGCTGATAGCTTCGCGATTAATTTTTTTATTTTTTTTCTTTTGTTTGATTAATTGTTCTAAAGAAATCTGAAAAATTTGTCCAAATATCTTGTGTTCGGAGAAAAAAAGGAGGGGACATCACAGAAATTCATTGGGGAAGATAAACTTAATTACATCAGTGAAAAATTATATCTCAAGAACGAACAGAACAGTCACTTATTATGCACTGAAAAATTTTCATTTATTTTCACTTGATACCTTACACACACACACACACACACACACACACATATACTTTATATACGGTATATTTTAAATATTATCATTTTATTAATGAAGTGATCTGTAGAATAAGATTTTAACATAACATGAAAATGATTGTACTATAAACACGATCGTTAACGATAGAAATAGTAATGCGTACGACGCATCTATCACGCGTGAATAGTTTCAAATTATCGTAAATATATAGTTTAATATTTTTTTTAATTACAATTTAATTATAACATACATAGTTGATAGAATAGCTAATATCAATAGGTACAAATTAAAAGGGCAAAAATTGAAGACACCTAAATTAAATGATTTCATACATGTCCGTTTAGTACTGAGATATAAAAAGTACTTGAAATATGTAGTTAAGTTCAAAAGTTCGTGTAAATTTTATCAGGTGTCAGCTATTTATTGGAAACGAACATGGGACTCGAGTGATACTTTTAGATTGAATTTAGTATTTAATCTCATTGCCATAGAAAGATGTACATCAAAAAAATCTTAACCTTGAAAGAACTATGCAAACGAAACAAAAAATATTAAAATATGCTTATCTTCAAATTTAACTACTACTAATTTCACTGTAAGTGAAGAAATATCCTTAGTTAGTGGGTACAGTTTATTCAAAAGCTAGCCAGTATAGAATATAATTAATCTGAAGAGAGGAAAATAATTTTTGTGACTCATTCGATGGGGAATATTATTAATCATAAATGATATTTATTTGGCTATTTTTTAATGTATCTTTTTATACCGTATCTACATGTGCACTATATATATATAATTCATGTAAATATGCGTTCTCGTTGGAAGGGGGTAGTAAAAATGTCACTATGTATCGAAACGAAGCAAAAATCTCGAAAACGTCGAAAGAGATGTCGCAAAAAAAAGAGTCTAGAATATATTAATCTGAAGAGAGGAAAATAATTTTTGTGACTCATTCGATGGGGAATATTATTAATCATAAATGATATTTATCTGGCTATTTTTTAATGTATCTTTTTATACCGTATCCACATGTGCACTATATATATATAAAATTCATGTAAATATGCGTTCTCGTTGATT